CTAAGCCTCCGTGTTCGCACTCCTTTTGAATAAAGTTCGTCCACAGAACATTAAATAACATTTTAAGCAACGAAAGTCATCAATACAGTAATAATTTGTGTTATAATCGTGTAATGTGGACGAACCTATCTTCGCATTTGTCAATTACAAAATTGAATCAAGAGAACTTCTTTTGTTTCAACCTCAAACTCTCAGTTAACGTTTATGTCTCGTCTCGTAATTCAAGGATGACTCTTTGATGTCGTGTGCAAGAGGATTGCACGTTCGGAAACATCTTATCTTTATCTTAACTTTGACATCGACACTGGCAGTATATCATCTACATATCGAAAAACATAGAAAATATGCTATATTCTACTTTATACATGACTCACGTGTTATTGCGTTTACTTAAATTGTACGTTGTAGCGGGGACTGGACAGAAATATACAGCAATAGACAAAACCTATCTATCTTTCTTACTTTCACATTATGATACTTCGTATTTGGACATAAAAATCGAAAGATAGCTAAGTTTTTGGAAACGACCGTAAATAGCAGATATCCGATTAATGCTAACGTTCAAGTTCAAAATAAGAATGTTAAAATATTGCACAATACTATCACCACATGCTACAAAAAGTTTAAAGAACCATAGATTAAAAATGGCGGATACATCTGTCAGTTTGACGCGTGCAGATTGAGATTCGCGACGTGTTGCCATCTCCATTGTCAGTTTTAAAAACGTTTTAAATATAAGCCAAGCAGCCATCGTAGCCACCTCGTTTGTTGCGGGTGTAATGAAAATTATTTTTAAAATCCGACTAGTGGACAGTGACTCGCAAGAAACTTTACGTTAGCAGCCTAAATTATAGATATTTGCGTTCGATTTATCGCGATACACTAAACTTACTTAAAATAGCTACCAAATAGTTTGCTTAATTTGCATATACATAAGTTCAAGATGCCATTTTATTAATTACACGATGAGATGGTTTGGTGTCGGCGGCGGTCGTTCTATATTTCACTAAAATAAGCAGATCTTTAAAAGCCAAAAATTTCCTACCAATAATTAATAATTTCACTTATAATAATTAACCGAATGGAATTTTCTTATCCAAACCTAAAAAGTATATATTCCGTGTGATACGAACGACTACGCACCAAGAAATGTTTGAAGTAAATCTATTATTTGTCTACTTACAAAGAAACTTAACACGAAAGAAAAATACAATTCTCAATATTAAATATATATTAAAAATAACGACAAAACGTTTATTTCAAAGCAAAATAGATGATTTGTTAATTTACAAGGTTCTAGGAAGGATCGAGTTCTCATATAGTCTGTAGATTTAATAATGGTAACATTAGTTTATGGTGTTTCCGCTAGCAGGACATCAAATATGGCACATTTCTTGCCAGCATCGACCTTATATTAAGGACCATTTCATTTCAAATCCTATTTTTATAAAATTCCTTCGAGAATGAATACCCTACCAATAATCTTTGAACGTTAAAAAATATGTTTCTTTTCACAGACTAACAAATCGGTAAGTACATAAATCAATCGTATAAATAATTATTGTAATATTATTACCGTAATGTTAGTTACATTTGTACTTAGGGCTAAATGTAATATATTAATTTTCGAAAAAAATACAGGTTGTCAAAAAACCACCACATCTTTATCTCTATGTAGCGGTTTTAAGTTTAGCGGCAACCGCGAATATTTGAAAAATTAAATACTGCTAATAAACTTCCAATCGCCGCATTAGATGCGACCGGGAACAAATCTTTGGACCTTATAATTATTAAAAGCTCCATATATTCAACAAAATCTACACAGCGAAGCTCTCGTGTCAATGTGCGTCGTTTAATAAGACAAAAGAAATTGCAAAAAATATACATATGGAAGACATAAACTTAACATTAAAAATAAACTTAAAAAATACAAATTCATTGTTATATAAAAATACAAGACCTCCTATTCAGCTATGAATATAACAAAGCACTCATATTTCTATACATCACGAAAACATAAAGATTATTGCAGTAAATCATTCGATAAAAAAGTATAATTTACATGATTTAATTGTGCGCATACGCAAAATCATAAAAAAACGTTTGTAAAATTTACTATTGAAAAACGGCATCCACAGATGTCAAATTATTTCATAGACAAAAACTGAAATATAAAAAAAACATCAACAAATTATTATGCCAGCTTGTTATCTCTTAAAACATAGTCATAGCGGCAAAAATGGTTAAGAGTAATCATATTCCGATTTAAAACATTTGTCACTTTGAAAAAACAGAAATTTTGATCCAGAGTGCATTGTCTATGTTTTAATAGATAACAATTTTCAGTGATATGCATCAATAAAAATGGGCAAAAAGCTAAAGGTGCTCATATACATAATACTATGTGTAGCCTCGAAAAAATCAAACTATATGATCCTCAATATAAAACGATTTGTTCTACGCGATAATGACTCGATTGTCACTGTCACATGTCAAACTTATTCTTTTTTTTCTTCAAAAAGGTTTACGTTGTTTCTGTTAATACTCCATTGTAGAATAAATAATAAACACAATTAATTCATTACATATTTGTCTGTTTTGTATTTTATATATGCTAAAAGATATGTTATTCGAATGACAAATGACAATCGAGCCAATAAAGCCGCGTTATGCTCTAAAAAGGTTTCCATCTCGGAATGTAGCGTGAATTTTAAAAATCTTAAAATATTAAAATTTAAGTGCAAATTATATCCTATAGAAAATTGCAATCATGTTAAATACGCGTCTAATTTAAAAATTCATAGACAAAAAGGATGTTGCCACACCAAAAAATCTAAGACGATTTTTTGAACCGGTAATACCCTTGTAGCTTCATTCCGAGATCAACCCACACTTTCACTGGATGTTTCAAAGTAGCAACGTACGAAGTACGTATACGCGAACGTAACGTCCGGAAACACCATGCGACAGAAGAATCAGTGACTTGCCGCTCGGCGGTCTTTTGCACATTATCTTAAACACGATTTAGTTACACTGTTTTAACTGCAACAAAATATTGTATTAAACATTAAAAAGCTACACGATTTGTAGATGTACAAATAACATTATTAGTTATGTCTCTGGGTAAGATTCAGGCGTCGAGGCTTAATATGGCTTCCGTACGTCAAAAATGTAATACTCAAAAGTTGATGTAAGAGTATGTAGTCTATGGAAAAATCAAATTTAAAGTCAGTGTACAAAATCACATTCCAATAACCACAGATAATGTGCAAGAGATCAGGCTATGGACACACCTAGTGACGTATTAAAGTAAATGGATTGCCTCGTATGTCCCAGCCTTTGCTCTACATGCGATGGCAACACAGATAGTAAAAAGTTATATAAATACTGAATCCATTTTTGACAAGTGACAATAAAGTCCAAGAGTTTCTCATTGTGTAGATAGTTGTAAATATATCGACTTCAAAGGACTTATCTTATGCATTGCCATCGCTAATAAAGATTTGTATAATTTAATAATGGAGCGTTACACATAGATAGTATATGTATAATATGTAAATATTGCTGTCGTATTCGTTTGGTGTCATATCACGCCGGCTTCGAACCAGCACTGGCGCATTGGAATCGCCGTTCTCACTGCAATTATCGAAACATCTAAGATATGTATTTATATATTTTGATATCATATTTTTAACTAAGCACTGACTCAATATGATTGTCGTGTCATCTATTGCTTATATTTTTATCTTGACAAAGAAATATACCAGTATGTATGTGATATAGTTAGTTTAGTATATTATTTGGGCATATAGCAAGATGCACAGATAAATGGTGGACTTCAAAGACAACTATATGGAAAGGACCAGGCAGTGAAGAAGAGAGCGCCCTTAAAAAGATAGATAGAAGAAATAGAAGCGTTAGCAGGAAGCGAATGGAGAAAGAAAGACATGGATAGAGATATTTGGAAAAAGCTGGAGGAGGCTTTTACCCTTGAAGGGGTTCCGATCAATGGTACTGAAGGAAGGTTGGATATTAGGATAACAAGAAAAATAAAAATATATATATAACAAATCTAAAAAACTAAACTGTACATTCTACATTTGTAAAGATTGGAAATAAACGGACTAATAGTCTGATTTTTAATTCCGTAGAATAGACAGCTATAATATTTTGACATGTCAGGGATGGCAAACCTTTTTGGCCGGGCATATATTTCAATTTCAATACGAGTCTGAACATCTGAGTTTATACACACATTTTTTTTAAAGGTTTACTAAACGTGGGATTAGTAGGCAGTGACGCCAGCTAAAGAATAAAATTAAGTAATTAAAGTTAATTCGATATATTGTTCGTGATATTCAAATATTTGTTATTTTTGTATTAGGTCACTTTAGTAAGTAAATATTTATATTTACCTTTTTGTAGGTAAAACATAAAAATCACGTAGCATTTTTTTTATTGCCCTTTAATAAATCAAATTTGTCCATTTTTCGGTGGAGAACTTTTTTAGTAGCAACACATGAAATGTCAGAATTCTACGGAATTAAAAATCAGAGTATAGTTATTATTATGATGATGATTTGGACTTCCAAGCACGTGTGCTTTTATTTTTGTATGTATGTTCACAAGTTTCTCGCAAAACTCAGACATACCGAATTGATGATGTGATCAGGTATATTCCAACTAAGAGAATAGTCTACGTTGCAGCAAAAATTATCCTAAATCTCTTTTTAAAGGAAACAATTTTTATTTACCATTACAATTTAAATTACAATTATTTTACATAATTTTAAATTTAACTGACGTTTCACGTGCTTTACAGCGTGCGTGATCACAGTCACCATAACCACGTACGCTGTAAAGCGCTAAATTAATTAATCAATTAATTACTTAAATTTATATTAAAGTATTTAAAAATGTTACCTTTAAATGTGTAAAAGTTATGTCAATAAAAGACAATACTTTGTCTCTTTATATTTTCTAAAACGACATACTGACCGTTAGAGCAGCTCGTACTGCCGCAGATGCATCCTCTGAATGATGTCGCGGCAGTCGTTGAAGACGCGCTTGATGTTCTCGGTGTCCACGGCGCACGTGAAGTGAGGGTAGCAGTAGTGCTTGCCTTCGCCACTGGCCGTACTGATGCGCTGGAACCAGAATTCAAAGCTTCTTAAACGCATATATACGAGAATGGGAGATAGTTATTTTTTAATTTATTATTTTCATATGTATATATTTAAAACGTGTGTGTACTTATGTACACGAGTTAGAAGTTATACTTCTTTGGCGTAACAAGATAAAAATCTTATTATCTTTCGTCTTGTTCAACGTTTGTAGAAAAAACGACACTAACAATAGAAAAAAGGTGATACAGTGAATTTTACTATAACGCTTTATTTAGTGAAATAAAGTTTATTTAAATATCACAAAAAAATATTTCTACATAATTAAAGAAATGGACATTTTTTTATTTTAAAATGTTGACTATGTCAACTTCAGAGTGTCGGTTTTTTGTGACAGTGTACGCATCGTAAAAATGTACTCTCCTATTTTTTTCGTAACGCGCCAACAGAAGTACAACTTTAAAAATCTAATAGGGTAGCTTTTTCCATGATCTGTACTACTAAGACTGAAAATGTATACGAAATTACTTCTATGCCTAGTAAACAAACACGAGACGTAACCCCGGCCGCGCGTTGTAACAAAATGTTAGCATTTGAGCGACAAAAATTTATTAAATTTTCAAAATAAAATTGGATATTTCTATTTTTTATCTACATTATAATGATAACAACTAATTGAAGATTAAAAAACTGTATATTGCAGAAATTAGGGATGCATCGATACGCTTTTTGCCGATACGATACCGTTGCCGATACCCTTACAGAAATATCGTCGATACCGATACCAACGCTTATTGAATTAAAATTAAATTAAGGTAAAATATATCAATTTTAGTTCAAGTTTGTAATTTTTTTTAATGATTAATGACTGTTAATGATTAAAATTAACAATGATAATATTTTTGTAATTGTGTATTTTATTTAATTTGGTATCGAAAAAATACTACTCGCGATAAAAAGTTAAAAGCCAACTAAATGATTTTCAAATCTACGTTCAATTAAGTCTCAATGATCTCCCGCAAGCCATTCAATCTAATAACTATGAGCTGGCAAAGATAGTTGACTGGAGTAAAAATTTTGGTCTACTAATTAATCCAACAAGAGTTTTTCGTTCTAACTACTAACTTATGTGAGACGGATTTTAAATTAACGTGATTCATGTGCACTTTTTAGTTTAGTTTGTTTTTAACTTTTTCCACAGAATATAGGCGAAATAAATTATATAGTAATAATAATGAATAGTAAAGTCTAGAACTTCTAGTCCTAATCGCTGTTTCAGTTATAAATTATTAGTAGGCAAGTAGCGGGGTCACTAGACAAATAATATCTATGGATTGTCCACACTTGGCCACAAATAAAATTTGTCTGGAAAGTAACCCTTCGCATCAAGACAACACTCCCATGCCCCATACCCCACTCACCAGGAACTCGTCCCGTATGAAGTATTTAGCGCGAGCCACCTCCGGATGGTCCCTGACGTCGGGGCTGGCGTCAGGCGGAGTCTGGTATCGGGCAAACTCCGAAAAGTAATCCTCGAGCCGGGACTTGCCCGCGAGCACTTTCTCCGCGAGCAGGTCTTGCTTGTTGAGGAACAGGATCACCGATATTGTGCGGAGCCATCTGGAATTCATTCATAAAGGTAAGAACCGAAAAAAATAGATTAAATTTTTTTATAGCTTTAAAGTGCTTTTCGTATATATTTACATTGAAACAAGCTGACCCGGCAAACATTGTTTTGCCATGTATATTATTTCTAGGAAAAAAACTTTTAGTTCAATAAAAATAATTATCTATATAGGGGTGAAAATTAAGGGTTGTATGTATTTTTCTATGCTGTATCAAAAAAAAAAAAAATGTGTCGAAAAATAAAATGTTCGGGGTGGACAACCCTTATCACTTAAAGGTTTGAAAGATAGATAGTAGCCGATTCTCAGACTTACTGAACATGCATATAAAATTTCATAACAATCGGTCGAGCCGTTTCGGAGGAGTATGGTAACTAACATTGTGACACGAGAATTTTATATATAAGATTTAAAATTGAGTGAAATATTTTAAGTTTTAATTTTCTCTTGGGCTTCAAATTCTTCATCTACTTCTGGATCATTTAATGTTTCCATCACGAAATCCAGAGAAAAATGAAACGGTGGGAATATTCCCAAAGCGGACAGAACTATTAGATACCGATTATTCCATATGCTCTTAAAGAGATCCAGCGACTCCCGAAGCCTGTTCTGCGTGGGATCCTCCCGCAGCACCATGTTGTAGGAGGAGCAGGCCGTCACGAAGATGATGGCCGTCACGTCATTGAAGCACTGGATCCACTTACGGCGCTCGTCGCGCTGACCGCCCACGTCGAACATACTGAAAATAAATAAAGCTAAAGCATATCGTATTGACACAAAGAGGGATAGGAATCGTCTTTTATATTTTTTTGACACTGTTGCGTCATTATAGTTCCACTCATTAGAGTGGATATGATATTTTTGTAGTCTAACTGCAAGAAGTCGGAAAAATCATTTGTCCATAGTTCGTATAACACGCCAATTCTTTTTTCTTAATATTTACAGTATATGTAATCCGACAAACGTTTTGCGGGTCAAGCTATCGAATTTGTTGGATTGTAGAGTCCCTATCTGCCTAAGTACTTGTTCACGTTGGAAAACGCGGGCGCGACGGCGGGTGCGGAGAAGTGGCGAGTTCGTGTTCACATTGGCCGCCAGGCGTTTGCGCGAGTGTGACGTGTTGTCAGAGATTGTAAACTTGGCGACATTCTTTTATTTTTAACCGAAAATTCTTATCTAAAGTGGGAGATGATAAAAATAGAATTGGTGTGCACAAAATTAATAAAGAAAGGAACGGTATGGTGAATTCCATACTTTATATAGTAATTTGAGAGACATCCTTCAAGATTTTTTGGATAAACCAGGATGACTGTCAACTGTTTTGATTACATATTGGATTAAGCACAAATAAACTCTTCTGTATTGAAAGACATACTGAAGACGTACTACCGTTTCTAGCGACAAGTTCAAAGTGGTTGAACTTACCTGACGTCGCGAGTGAACCGCGCGCTCCGCCGCTAGTTAGACGTGAACACATACAAACATTTCACGCGTTTGTTATTGCCGCGAGCGGCACGCGCACGCCAGTCGCTACCTTGCCCGCTACTTACACCGCACGTGCGTTTCGTATGTGAACACTTGGATATTACGCCATATGTTTGATATTTCGTGACCGCGCCCGCGAGTCAACGTGAACAAGTACTTAGAATCTTATACAAAAGAGTACCTCGTAATCCAACAAATTACAGTTCCTATGACAAGATTATATTTGTATCCGTAGTACAAATTGAGTAAAAGAACATTCTGATAAACGAGCCAGGTCTGGATATTCATAGTTGCTCCCCTCACACTTTAAAATCTATTTTCGTTTAGTCTTTATAATTTAATTGTTTTGTTTATTTTTTTTCTTACCTATAAGTATGTGTCACATTAAAAAAATGTATTTTATTTTTCTTGTACTAATGCATCAGTGTGCGTTGACAAGCTGTTATAGCGTTAGCATAAACGTATTAAAGGAGTACCGAGAGTTTTTTACGCCGGCTTTTACTCTCGGCCTACACCCTCTGTTTTCTTTGCCGATGAGTAGGGATGCCTACAAATTCAAATTTAATGACGTGGAATAAGTGATACATGTATCTTATGTTCCATAGTAAACATATTTATTTTTTATAAATAAATAAGTACAAATCACTTTATTCTTTTTATAAAATTTAGTAATTCAATTACACAATAGCTTACGCTTTATTATAAAATTAACATCATTAATGTAATAGTGACGGATTAGACAAGATTCGGATTGCCGGGGATCCACTGTACTATAAAATGTATTCAGGGTGTGATAAAGTAAAACAAAAATTGTTTTGTTCAGTATCTGATCGATAATAATAATTTATTTGCGAAGAAAATGGTACATTCCGATTGATTAAGTTTAAAAAACACCGCACAATCAGCCAAATAAAAATAGACATGAAAATGTCATATTCATTATCAAGATGTCACAGTTAATTATAAGGCTTCAGTTAAAAGGAATTTAAATTGTACTGTGGTATAGCCCTTTAGGCACCAAAGCTAAATGGCAATTGATATTTTGGTGTTATCTATACTTTTAGTTTATTTACAATATATTAAGCAAAACTTAAAATAAAAAAAACAAATATTTACAAAATGATAAAATAGAAAAAAAAATATAAATTTTTATATGTATATGTGTGTAACTGATTTACCTTCGATACATAAATATATTAGTATACTTACTGGAAATTGACTTTATCGACAACGAACTGCGTCTCAAAGATGCCCGAAGTGAGAACTCGGCAGCGAAGGATGTCTTGCTCCGTGGGCGTGTACTCTGGGTGCTTTATCACGTGCACTTTGTCCAGGAAACTGAAAAATAAATTTCGTGTAAAAATGTATTGCCGATACTTATAATAAATAACTAAATGACTGTGAGAAAAACTGAAAAACAATTTTCATTAAAAATAAGATTAACTAAAATTCTTTCATATGATTTTTTTTAAAGAAATCTAATGTTAAGAAAATTAAAACAAAAACACAAATGTTACTATACTATTTTAAACATATTTTGTACCAGGAATATATTGTTTAAATGTGGAACAAACAGAAAATCTAGATATACATATATATTATATTCTACTTACTACTTGGCGCAGTCGATAAGCTGGTACTCGTTACTGCGCTCATATGTCCGCTGAACCCCTCCATCCTTCCAGAGCTCCTCCGTGTGCTCATAGAACTCACGTGGGTAGTCGAAATCCGGTTGTGAAGCTACGTCCTAGCAATTACCATCACATTCAGCATCAACTTTTATCATTAAAAAGAACTGATTTAGTCTAATTGATCCAGTTTTAAAAACTCATCTGTCTCTTTTCATTACAGCGTAAACACAATTTGACAGTAAGAGACTATATTAAAATATAATTAAAAATGTTCCACATCTTCAATATTAAATAAGTTGACCTACTGTTTCGTCTCTATCTTTCAAATTGCGATAAAAAGAGACTGGAGATCTCTTCATTAAAAAGGGTTTTCAAAAATTACTAATAATTTATTTTCCACGCAGTGTTTGTAATATTTTTTAGAACTTATATAAAATAAACAATCAAAACGTTACCAATCAAAGTGCGTTCTGTAAAAATCTCCAAAATAACTTTAAAAGTTTAAAGTTATTTTAATAGAACTCCAAATTTTGATCATATATTACGAACATAATATGTATTTTAGCATATTCATTAAAGTTCACATCATGGAACACTTTTAATATTTAAACATATTCTGAAAACATTTTATTATAAAAGATGTCTAACCTAATCCGCTGTTTTGCTGCTAATAACGAAAACGAAACGGACGAAGTTTTTAAGCTATTGCATAGATTTTATCGCGGGCTTTGAGCGAGGAGACCGAATCAAGAAATTCCGTAACGAAAATAAACCTAACACACGATGACGCATTAGAGCGGGACAGAACGCATACTGCGTCTCACATCGGTCTGGCGTGATCGGTGACGTAGCGCAAGTGCGTTAGAGTGGGACAGAACGCATACTGCGTATTCACATCTCTCTGACGAGATCGGTGACGTAGCGTAAGCGCGGCCGGCGCATTTTTTATTTTAATACTAAATCAGTCACCACTGTATCCATCATGTATATATATTGAATAATGAAAATAGAAAAAATATCAATCCTACATACAATTGTCTTAGAGAAACATACTTCATACTTTATGTTTTTCTTATGTAAGTTTATACATACATACATATATAATTATGTTTTTATAACTTACTTGTATGTAGTCAACTCGAGCTTTATTCTCGGCCTTTTCGAGAGGTATGGGCGGTGTAAGCGTGCTCATCGCACCAGTTATCGTCTGAAATTAAAAAAGGCTCATCAAGATCAGGAAAATTGCATTAGAAATTTGTTTAAAAGGCCAGCAACACACTCCGGCAATGTGAGTGTATCTGGGCGCCGGTATCACTTAACATCAGATGAGAAAAATGGCATTTAATACATTGAAAGTTTTATTATAATTTATAACTATAGTTTTTAACGCATTATCTCCTTAAATAAAGTTTATTTAAATATCACACAAAATTACTTCTACATAATTAAAGAAATGGGATTTTTTTTATTTCAGCATGCAACTTATACATATTGATATTTACTATTAAATTCACGTAAATTGGTTAGAGTTCAGTAGACTTATGACAGCTAAAGTATGATATAAATATTTCTGTAGAAACATTGTCTTAATATCATACAAATATAGGATCAATAGTTGTATATAAAAAAATATGTTGTCTATAGCTAACTTCAGGGTGTCGGTTTTTTGTGACGGTTTGCGCGGGCATCGTAAAAATTTACTGTCATCATTTTACCTGACTTTTTTGAAGTTATACTTCTTTTGGCGAAAAGAAGTATAACTTCAAAAAAAATCTAAGTCCTTATTAATAGTTAACGCCATTCTAATATAACTTTATATATGGTTTACTCACGAGAATCGCATCGCGTATATTCTTCTTGATATCCTCAATCTTCTCCCGACGTTCCTTATCAGAGAATCCGTTTACGTGCAGAATGCGCATTTGTTTCACAATCGTCGACTTGCCGGACTCACCAGCGCCGAGGAGGAGCAGGCGATGCGTTGCGCGATATAACTGGAAATTTACGTAAGTCATAAAATTATTTGACAAGAATTTAGTATGAAACAATGTCCCCCTAAACGCGGTATTTTCCCCCCATACCGTGGAGATTTCTCAAGTTATATTTCTGCAGTGTGAAATTTATAATTCATTCATTTTTCAAGGTCATAATTAGTTTTGTACCTTTGCACCTGTTTTTATTGTGTTGTTACAAAATTAAACTTTATTAAATTCGTGCTCCTAGTTTTTATATTGTCAAAAACATCGGTTTTACGAGTATCCTACAACGCGATTTCCTATTACGCTGTCCAGGTCCTTACAATACTAAACCAATACGATAATGTCGATAGCAAAAAAATAATAATATATAATATTAGATACATAAGACTCATAATGTATCTCACACACACATGTTAGTAGGTATATATTGATAATACTTTTAAACTAGTGCACAAGAATTATACACCGGAGGTCTAGGCTTCAATTTGGTGTAAGTGATTTTATTATTTCTATATTTATTTGCTTCAGACGTTAAGGAAACAGAAATAAGTGGGTAGGACGTTTAACTTAGGACTACAAATAAATATTTCTGAAAAAATAAGCGAAAACAACTCTCCAAGACGTAGTTGGTTTGATACAACAATTTTTTGTCCTTAATAATGAAAAATATGAATTAAATTTGTTACTGTATACTTCCAACAAGCAGTGGCGTACCAATACGATGGCAGTGCTGGCTTAATGCGACGGGCCTCTGCCCAAGAGATATTATGTTATATGGATGAATGTGAAGTTTCCAATACGCATTGGGCTAGCGTAGGGACTACAGACCATTCCCTCTCGCCTAAGAGAGGAGGCTTATGGTCATTAGTGGGATATATACAACGTGTAATTGAGTACGCTGAAAATCTCGAAGTTAATAAAATAAAATTGAGTACATAGAATATATAATAGATAGGGCCCCATCAATAGAATTTGCCACGGGTCCCAGATGGTATAGTTACGCCACTGCCAACAAGGCTAATTAAGATATTAATATTGTTAATTACATATTTATTTCCGGTTACCTGTTTATCTTTTTGTAATTGGCGTGTGATGGCGTCGCTCCGTCGTTTCTGCGTTTTGGCGTCATCCTCGCCGCTTTTGGCGCCCGGCGAACCGAAGCAGCCCATTGCCGACCACGCAGCCCACCTGGAACCATTCACGCCCAAGTCTCAAAAAACAAACCTTTTTTAACTAAACTGATTTATATTTAATGCCTGAGTTTGGACTTTTCATAAACAGAAAGACAGTATACCAAACCGGGCAATAAGGGTTATGTCCTGTCTCAGTCAGATGATGACTGATTATTTATTTATTTATAAAAGCTTGCCAACGCTCGGCACACTGATACAATAAAAATAAAATACAATATAAGACAATATAAACGAAAAAAAAATATAAAACCTAAAGAAAAAGGAATATCGATAGTGTGTGGGGGATTAACTATCCATATCTCATTGCCTAGTTAAAAGGTTCGGGCAATCATTCGGGTCGCATATTGAAATTCGAGACTTGGGTTTAAATAAGTATCGTATTTTGTCAGTTATACTTAAATTTAATTTTAAGAGCTGTTAAACCATTTTATCTGTATGAAGTTGCAAGTTACAGTTCTGTACAAGATTGTGACCTGAGGTACGAATTATGGCCCTTATACTTCAAATTGACAATAAGGATGGCCATCGCTTGGAGCCTTAATCTTATCATCATTTTATTATATGAAGATTATAATAAGACATCCATTCTTAACCATTTTTATGTCGCGACGCAGGCAAAAGTTAAGTAAAACAGTCATGGGACCCCGTCACTGTAAAATTACAATTTAGTTTTATAACACTAAACTTTAATTATTCATTCCTCTAATAAACCAATATTTGTACCTATATTTCAACAGACTGCGACCGCTTGAGAAACAATCAACTAAGAAGTTCGCAATTTAATATACTTGAAATATATTCTGCCTCTTTGTAAAATAATATTGTTATAACAGCCTCTACTAAGCTTACTTTAAGCTTTAAAGCTTTATATAATATATGATTAGAATTATACGAAGGTAAAATACGTCGATTATAAAAAAAAATCCTCCTCTCTCTCTCCTCTTGTAAAACGTTACGATGCGGGGCGGGGATTAAATTACGCGTTATTGTTAATATTATTTTCGACTTTCCAGTACTTTACACCACATAATGGTAACTTTTAGGTATAAAGAGTCACTGGGTGGTCACGAAACGTTTTATTATTGGGTACAGAAAAACGTTACGGCGCGTTACATGTGGGGGGGGGTCAATAATCTCTAAAAATTGCGTCTCAAAAAAATATATTAGATATATATATTCGTTGTAAAGTAAAATCTGTATATTGATTAGATTACGAATGTAAGTGTGTATCTAATAATCTGAAAGAAGTAATTAAAAATTAAGTAAAATAAAACTTTTTTGATAACAAAAACATATCTATAGTCCGACTTTCCTCTACGCGAAACTATTGCTAGTAGCTTTGTCTTTTATTGACATAACTTTTACACATTTAAAGAAAATAGTTTTTTACCGGATTGAAGTTATGTATTATTATAAATAGTCACCGTGACCACGCACGCTGTAAAGCACGCGAAACGTCGGATAAATTTAAAAACTATGTAAAATAATTGTAAATTTATAATAATTATACATAACTTTAATCCGGTAAAAAAGTGTTTTCTTTAACTATTGCTAGTATTTTATAAAAAATAATTAGTGAACAGTGTCTTAAGATTGTTCATACATCGTCACTATAATATATTTTTATTATATATATTTGTTGCTTATAAACAAAACTATGAGCTCCATATATGTCACCTACAATTCAATTGTACTGAAGCGTATGCGTACGTCATACATACAATAAACTTTCATTTTCAGACCATAAACGCGTCGTCAGGCATACCAAGGAGGTAATGATGTTCCGTATACGACCTCATCCGTCGATCGGTGCCATTGAGCTCGTCAAACTATGTGTAGCTTAGGAGCCAGCCATATGACCAAATACTAATAATCCAAGTGGTTAACATGACAATTCTCAATATAAACGCATTCGAATCCAAGCTGTGTTGTTAAGTTTCCTTTTTAAATGCAAACTTATTCATTAAGAAGGAGGTCTTTACTTGTGAAGGGGCTCCGATCAATGGTACAAAGAATAACAAAAAAAATCTATATATACAACAAATCTAAACTGTATATATTCAACATTTGTAAATATTGAAAATAAAAGGGCTTTATTATTATTCATAAAGTTAAGGCAGTGTTGGCTGTGCATCAATTTACTTTCTTTCTATGTGCGCATTTAACATACGTTCGAACGGTGAAGAAAAATTAAAAAATAATATCTAAAATGTGTCTGCCGCACACGTCATTAAGAAAAATCATTTGATGTCCAAAGCTGTATCTAATGGCGCGTCTAAACGGGCCATGTTTTGCTGCAATTCATGGCTGCACTGTTGGCCACTAATTGCCCGGCCATTACAAAAATATTTTAATGCAGCTGATGGCCGAACAATCTATGGCTGGGCAATGTGTTGCAATTTGTCTGCAATAGTATGGCCCATGATGCAGACTCCTAAACGGGCCACACAAACCGGTAACAATGGCTGACGAAATCACACTTGTCGCAGCAGCTTATATTGTTTTAAAAAAGAAACAGAAAAAGAAGAGATTGTGGATTCGACCTTAATTAAATAGGCGTGAAACTGTAGACAATTTGAGTCTAGAAATAAGTCTTGATAATAAATTATTCAAGAACTAGAATGTCAAAAGTAGTCATTTTTACGTAGTAATCTAACGTCAAATACAGCTGATCGCAAAACACAGAATAAAGCAACAGGCACACTTCACTCAAAGCAAATGTCATGTCGCGTAGAAAAGGATACACTATGCCATAACAAAGAGAGTGACTGAAACAACAAGAGAACTGGCCGTGCAATATTGCAGTTGAATTCGATAGCCTAGCGATCGTCCGGCCACCTATCGGGGCAACATCGGCCATATGTGGCTATACAAAACATGTTTGGCTATATGGCCGGGACATTACTGCAATATTGCATAGTGTGGCTGCTATTGTTTGCAATGTTGCCGGCCACAGTGTTGCAGCCATCAATTGCAGCAAAGCATGGCCCGTTTAGACGCGCCATAAGAACTGTCATATAAAAATATATTAAATAAATACTATACGACGTAGATAACGAAATTTAAGTTCAATATACACATAGTATAAAAAATCACCTCACGCCGGCGTAACACAATGCTTTGGTGTCTTAATACGAAGTCGCACTCATAAACAAGTAATTAAGCACCCATCTCCTAGTCTACACTATTCATCGCGCGATTGTTCGCGCGGTAATGCAGCAAATATGCTAATAGGTTCATTATACAATGGCATTTGTCCTGCGGCGCGCGTACTCCAAACGATTTCGGCGGTTAATTATTTCCAGGATTCGGCGTCACACAAACCATAACTTACATTACGCTTTAAACATTATCTGAATTATCAATAGCATTTTAGAATGCGGGTTTCGGATATTCGAACGAAGTAATCACTAATCATACAAGAAAACAAAACTAGTACTATTGAAATCACGTACAGCGTGCCGTTGTTTAAACGGAACAAATGTAAAGCATTTATTACTTGTTATTTTAATTTATGATTCGATTAGACAAAAGATTTTTCGACCGATATCAAAATCGGAAAGAAATTCGATGTCTATATGTACAGAATTGAGATCCTCTTGTCTTAAAAAACAATTGTAGCGGTGATTTGACACGGTAATGAACACAATAACACAGACCAGAGCATTAAATTAATAAAAAAAAGTGCGTGCGTACAAAGTACACATGTCAGAAGTGAAACTTCTTTGTAAATTAATTATTAGTTATTACTAAGGTAAAAGCCCCAATAGATGATCATGTACCTGTATGTGATCACTCCATGTATTTGTATATCTATATTCACACTGTTTACACACTGTATACGTGCTAACGATAATCTAAATAAATAAACATTTAATGAAATTCATTGTCATAAAAATATTAAGTGTCGAAAATTAATACAAACACTTAATAAGTTTAATATTTTAAATTTATTTTTTTGATAATATAATTGATATATTATACAATTTGTCATTTGAGATTTCAACAAATTATTTTGCATAAAATATAAAATACTTATATTTAATCAATTCTCTTTACGAAATTTTAATTTTAAAAATAGTATTTCTATAACGTAATTCACCCTTCTCACTCTCAATCAATCGGTCTCAATCACTCTCTCCCTTTTCTTCGACAAAAACGCTGCACATCTTCGTGACGTTCCGTAAAAATTTTACCCTCATGCGCGTAACGAAGTTTTACTTCAAAAAGAAGTAAAAATGATAATTCACAGTAAACACTTTTTATCAGTCTTTACCGGCAAAAATTGTACGCTTTTTTATAAATAATAGTATATTTCATTTTAATAATTTAATAAAATAATAAAAACACAATAAACTCAACTAACAAATCATTTATTTCTTATACAAATTATTGTTCACATATACATTGGTACAGTTTTTTATACTAACTGGAGAAGTTTTAGGTTGCATATTTATTTACTGTTTGAGACAAACTATTATTAATTTCGTATGATTGTTCATGTATATTTAATATATAATATAACAAACAACTAAACGCGCAAAGAACATTTATGGAAAATGGCGCCAACCGTAAAAGAATATAAGCAGATTTTTTTTTTCTTCACCCATTCTGGGTAGGCAAAGGGAACTATACCCATACAGCCAAGTCTTCAGTACAATTTTTTATTGATATGAAATGAAATTTAATGATATGAAATGAAATTTAATGAGATGAAATGAAATCTAACCTAACTCATTGAATCAAATCATTAAATCTGATATTGAAACAAAGCAGTAGTTCTTTTTAGAAATATTTGCATGAATCATAAAAATTTCTATGTATTTTTTTTAGTAAAAACTTCGTGGTTGGTTTTTCTTTTTAATAGACATTATTTTGACAGTTGGGAAAGAAAACGCACTAGTTCGGAAAAGGTAAAAAAAAACACGAGTGTGTAATAGCCCACATCCCGAACGCTATACGTCCCTGCAATACGCCACTTTTTGAGCAACTGTATTAAAAAATAATTAATGACATTTCGTCCATAATTATTTGTATTTTTACAGATAGTTTCTATTAAGTGTGTGCATTAAAGTTTTCATTTTAGTATAAAAGATTGAGGAACTACTTAGAGATAGCAATCGTTCAGTGCTCTGTCGAGTTTTACATTAGCTTAAAGGTTTGGATACTCAAAGCTTTCAGACTTGACCTGCAGCTCAAACCGAGCTTTATATTCATGGACCGTGAATATTTATACGAATAATTAACTGGGGACGAAGAATTTAAAATGTTAGAGACTTTTAACATATAAAATCGTATTTGACATGACATTTCCTCCTTTCCTAGTCCTGAATCTTTTTCTGAACTAGATGCACCTTATACAGTCATGGTATCTGTTCATTTCTTCTTTCTACCAACATACCTTTTACCCTGAATTCCCACCATAATCAGCTGAATCGTCGTTTCAGCCCGTTGACGTCCACTGCTGGACATTAGCCTCTCTCCTAAATTTCCATTACGGCCGCTTCTCCGCGCTCTGCATCCAACTACCCTCCACCCTCACCAGGTCGTCTGTCGTAGTGGGAGGGCGTTGAATGTTTCGCCAACTGGTTCTCGGCATCCACGCCAGAAATTTATTGCCATTTAAGCTTTTACGGTCTTTTTGGTATATCGGTTCGGAGACTTAAGTGATATTTTCTTCATTTCTAATTCAATCGCGTAGAGAAACACTGAGCATAACCCTCTCCATAGCTCGTTGAGCGATACGGAGCTTGTGCACCAGGTAGAAGTAAGAAACCAAGTTTCAGAGCTGTAGCTCATCATCAGTAGGACGCACTGTTCGAAGACTTTTGACTTTAAGCATTGAGGGAGGGAAACCGCTGAAAATACGCTTTTCAATTTACTGTAAGCTGCCCAAGGCGGATTCTTCGACTGATCTTCTTCTCGAAGTTGGATCCACCCAATTGTATTCAATGACAAGGTAAACGTATTCATCCACTACCACAAGAATTGAGATCCCCAATGCTATGTTACATAATTTTTGTCGTATCTGTGTTCATTTCAAGACCAACTTGTTTTGACTCTCTAAAGGTCAATGAGCATTCGGTTTAGATCTTCCCGTGCGAACCATGAGAACGCTATTATCGCGGTAAAAAGTTTGGGACATATAACATCGCCCTGTCTGACACCTTGCTGAAGTGTCTGAAGTCCGACTGTTGTGTGCCTCGGACAGTCAGATGTGGTCGATTGTAGTGGCTTTACGGAAACCAGCCTGTTCGCGCGGTTGAAAGTCACTTGCATTCGAGACGGTTCGTGACAACTCCAGAAAATAGCGTATACACGTGGCTCAGTAGTGCGGTTTGGTGCGGTGAATACATCACCTTTACGCAGCATGTGTAAAACAACTTACTATACTTAGATAGCGGTCCATCTGTTTCTTCTTTTGCCATTGTTGCAGAATTTATAAATTACTTTTAAACCACACGTAGATGTAACTAGGTACTGTCTCCCTACTACCAGCTTGATGTTTCATAATATGTAAAATGTTATCAGATCAGATTAAATTGATGTCGTGAATTGTTTTTTAATCAGTCTATAGTAGTTTTCCCAAAAATATATTTTTTTTACCCAATAAACCTTAAAAGTAGATGGACTGGTCCGATTTCAAAAATTCATTCACAATTTTTGCATTATCTTAGTTATTTTTATAATTATCCTTCTATATTCGTCACAATTGTCGAAATTACGTCATTTATATATATGTATATGGAATACGCGCTACAAATCTAGCTCAAGATCCTCCCCTGACATGTCCGCTTGTCGTAAAATAAAACTTTTGACGCACTTCGAAATTAGGTTAATAATATGAAATTTGGCATTCCTTTGAGTAAACAGTGAAGTTATCGTAACCCAATTACTCCAGATACCACAATTGTGACGATAAAAACTGGTACAGTTTCGGTATTTTAAACGGTTTTTCGATTAAAAGTATAATTTGGTTGTACATTGTCAAAAATATTTTTATGATCGCACATAGATTAAATTACTAGCTGCTTTGAATTACTCAAAATCCTTTTGACTCTAAAGGAGGCTATCTATATATATATAAATAAAAATGAATCGCAAAATATGTTGCTAAGCTCAAAACTCGAAGACAGCTGGACAAATTTAAATATTTTTTTATTTTATTAAGTTTTTATGGAGAAAAAATTGGAAACATAAAAAAAATAGTTTTATTTAGTATACTGATGTGTTTATTCCCGAAAAGCTAAAAGGCTCTATGGGATAGCTTAGCTTATATATATCTTAATATATATAAATTACGTGTCACGTTGTTTGTCCGCGATGGACTCCTAAACTACCGAACCGATATCAATCAAATTTGCACACCGTGTGTAGTTTGATCCAACTTAAAAGATAGGATAGCTTCCATCTCAATTTATACCCCCGCAATATTATTTTATTGCAAAATATTTGTTTATTATTTGATAGTCAGAATTCTAACAGAATTCAGACAGCTGTGTTGAAGTACCAACGTTTCACATAATCTACAATTTAATGGCATAACCACCAAAATAGCATGGTGGTCCCCATGACTGGTGTTCTCCTACCGTTTCCCTTGAATAGTTTGCTACTATGTAATATAACAAAAACTTTAGCCACAGCAACGCTTGGCCGGTCTGCTAGTATATATATTAGGGATGCATCGATACGCTTTTTTGCCGATACGATACCGATGCCGATACACTTATAGGAATATCGTCGATACCGATACCGATACCAACGCTTATTGAATTAAAATTAAATTAAGGTAAAATATATCAAGTTCAGTTAAAGTTTATAATTTTTATTCAAAAAATAGTCACAAACTTTGAATTATTTTATAGGTTTTGTTACTAAAATTAAGAATTAAGAGTAATAATTAAATTAAATATTGCAAAAAAACTTAAGTGGAAATGGGCGGGCCATACCGCTCGAATGAATAATGGCAGATGGACAAAAAGGGTAACAAAGTGGAAAGGGCCACCAGGAAAAAGAAAGCGTGGTCGCCCTCTTGCACGTTGGGCCGACGAGCTTAAGAAAGTTGGTGGAGAGGATTGGGAGAAAAATGCTCAAAACAGAGAGAGATGGAGTCAACTGGAGGAGGCCTTTACTCAATAAGAGGTCCTTGGAAAAACAAAATATATATACATATATATATGTATGTATTTTATGTGTGTGTGTATATTTTGTAACTTTTTGTAAATTTTATTTTGTAAATTTTTCAAGGAATAAATGAGGCTTAATTATTATTATTATTATTATTATTAATTAAATTAAAATAAAATAAATAACTGTTAATAATTAAAATTAACAATGATAACATTGTAGTAATTCTGTATTTTATTAAATTTGGTATCGAAAAAATACTAGTCGCGATAGCAGTTAAAAGCCAACTAAATGATCTTCAAATCTACGTTCAATAAAGTCTCAATGATCTCCCGCAAGCCATAATATCTAATAACTATGCGCTGGCAAAGATAGTTGACTCGAGTAAAAATTTTGGTCTACTAATCAATCCAACAAGAGTTTTTCGTACTAACTACTAACTGACGTGAGACTGATCGTAAATTATCGTGATTCATGTGCACTTTTTATTTTTCATGTAGACTTTTTTTAGTTAATTATGTTCAATTTTTATATTGTAATGCAACAAAGTGTTAATAAATAAATAGTGTTTAGCGAAATGAAATACAAATATACATAAATAATAATGCTTTGTCCCCAAGCGAATGATAGAGACAACAAACTGAATAAAACGCGGGATTTCTCGGGCAACAATAGTCCGTGGCTCGTTTGCAACAAACTAGATCATACAAAATGCGCGTTTACATTATTTTTTTAAAGCGTAAAATCAGTGGCGCTACAACCTCTTTAGGTCTTGGCCTCAGATTTCTGAATCTGTTTCATGATCATTTTTAAATCTAATAGGCAAGTATGTGATCCTGTGCCTGACACACGCCGTCGACTTTTTGGGTCTAAGAAATGTCGGTTTCCTCACGATGTTTTCTTTCACCGTTCGAGCAAATGTTAAATACGCACATAGAAAAAAAGTCCATTGGTGCTCTGCCGGAAGCAAATAGGCCAACACTGCTCAGAAAAAACATATTAGGGCGAAAACAAGTTCGCGGGCGCAACTAGTAGTCTATATAACAGGAGGCTACAGGGGAATTAACGCGGATGAATGATGCCACAGGGCATATCTCAAGTAAACGTCGCACACAGTGCGTGTAACAAAACATAACCCATAGGTTCTTGGCTAGATTCCCAGCGAAATGTAATCTTTTAAAACACACGCTTACAAAGAAATTATCAGCCGGTTAGCTATTAGGACTTATATACTTTAACATACTTTTATTTGATACATATGTTGTGTATTCTAAATCAATAGTTATTTCTCCACGCTCTAGTTTCTAGCTCTTCAGACACCTTCGGCTTGATATGAGCGCTAACAGTCACATTTAGCCACAGATAGAGAGACTTAGCAAATATCACTCTCGTATGTCAAAACCGTATTGTATTTTGACACACATATGTGAAACGACGGGTCAAACGCGTAGGATGAAACACCGGACGTCCCATAACCGTGGCCATTGCAATTAAACCACGAATGTCACTGATTATTTTTAGAAGCCGGTGATGAATTAACGGCTCGTGTTTACAAAACCAGCTGTTGTAGATACATTTTTACTTACAATGAGAGGATTTTTCGCCCACACAATTTTATGTTCCCTATAATTAGATTCTTGTGAGATTCTATAAATAATGTTATTATTAGTGACCTAATCTAAAGGGTATGGACAAATTTACCTTATCTATATTAAACAAATTTTAATGCTGATAGAATAAGACAATAATATGACAGACAGAAAGATTTTATTTGGTTTTGATTTCAATAAAATTCACCTTTACTAATACAATAATATTTAAATATTGCATAGGTATTGAGACAAGATGATGTGATATTTTTATTGCTTTTAACCACAATACAGCATGACTGAACAATAAATATTTATAGAGATTGATACAGACATATTATAAGAAAAGATTTCATTAATAGTGATCCACAATTATCTTGAAATCAGGTTTAATTTGTTAATTATCAATGATATTATTTTTTACTGTACTTTTTTAACTACTTTAAAAGTATATAATTTTGCAATAGGCATAACACATATATCTTCAGTAGAAACAATATAATAAACTAAAAAGGATCTACATATAAACTTTTAATTAGTACTAAAAGTGCTAGCAATCGGATATCAGCCTTTAAGGAAAGCCAAAAAGGATTCTTTAAATACAGATACTTAACGAAGCAAAATAAATCTTTATTAGATGCATATTAGGATACTTTAGTATGTTAAGTTATCTGAATTGTGCAAATTAGTATCATGTACCATTATAATAAAAATCTTCCACATACATTACAATAAATACATTCCAATACAATAGTTGTAATAAAATGATCAGTGATATGATTTACATAACCATATGTATATTATATGGAACTGTATGAGTGTATTGAATCAATTAAATTTCTAAAATAACACATTAACATGTTAAAAATAACCATGTTGAGTCATTACCATAGCGTATATTATTTTTAGTCCAACATTATGTATGTTTGTTGCTATGTAGGCTTATCACTGCCATTTATATTGATATTTTAAAAGATAATTTCTTTGTTACAGAGCAAACTGGAATTTAAAGCAGCTTTACAATTATTTATTATGTGATTATTATGACTTAAAATTGATAATAGCATACATCTAAATGATGTTTAAAACCAAAAATTATGTGAAAATAATACTTTTAATAAGTAATTCATGTGAATTAATAATAATTTGAATTAATTATGTATTTATTTCCTGGAAATTAGCCCCCTAATAAACTAACTGAGAAAGTAAATCAGTGTAATTGCATTCTTTGAAATAACATACTCTTTCGTCTCTACTATCAGATTGGGTTTACATTGTGATGAAAGAAAGCTGATAAATAATTAAGATAAAACCATGCAATAAGACTGATTTATTTTTAATAAATAAAGAAGATAATATGTACTAATGACTAATAGGTGTGAGGTGAGTAAATTTGCTAGCATACTAAAACTAATATCTTATCATTTTGCTTAACAACTTTTCAATTAAAGCCTAGAATGGGTTAAAAAAATGTTAGCCTGCAATTTCTTCTTCTTAAAAGAGACCAACAAATTTCATCAGCATATTAAAAAAACTTAAGACACATGAACTTTTTGAAACACTTGCTCAGGCAGAGCTAAAAATAACAACATTTAAATACATAATTAGTATATGAATGGAAAGAATAATGATCAAAGTAAGGTCATCTTGAAACGCCTGACCAATCGCACACAATAGTATAATAGCTATTACATATAGTCCTGTAATGCTCAAGTCTTAAATTATGTATAATAATAAAGGGTAAAAAAAATGTGACCAATAATTGAATAGATATTCATGACTCACATAATAAGGGAATCAGCATAAGAGCAATTTTACCAAATAGCAATAGAGATTTCAAGGTAGTGTTTTTTATAATAAAGTAATATCTAGTGAAAATATTTTAAAACTAAAATCCAAGTCAATTAGTTATATTTTTATGCATCATTAAATCAATATTATTACTAATCTCAAATGTTTTCTAGTATTCAGTAAGTATGTCAATGTAATGTACAAATTAGCTAAAATTTTTTAAATGATTTTGAATTTTGCTCAAAATTAGTTAAATTTTTATAAAGTGACTAAGTTATTGATTTTAATGCTTTTATCACTATTTAATATCTGTGTCATATATATAGGTGTAGTATCAGTACTATACCTAAATCTAAAATACATAAACAAAAGCTAATGTAAAAGCAGTATATTTCAAGCACTGGACCTTGTTTAATTAGCTATTTCCAAAATTACATAAATAAAAACTAATAATATATATTCTTGTTTTTAATAATTATCATGGTAAGGTGATTATTATTATAATTGGTAATATTGAGAAAAAATTAGGTTTTGGCATGGGTTATGGTAACAGTTTTCTTTCATTTAGGTTGTTTTTTTAAATATTCAATTAGGGTACTTACCAACAGGTGGGAGTGGCGTTATCCACCGTGTCCTGGTTGGCCTGCGAGGGGGACTCTGCTCCCCTCGCGCCACCCGCCACAGAGGAAGCCGTGGTGCCGCTGTTCCACACACTAAGCCCACATCATCACTTCACTCTTATTATCTCCACCAAACTGACACCAATTGCATTGCTACCTGAAAACACCACGGCACTTCACTACAACCGCACTTGACACTTCCGCGCGCTAAGAACTGACACTGGGCTGCGATCACGCCCAATAATCACCAAGAACAAACTTATCTCACGAAAAAATGGCAACCAAATATTAAGACTAGCCTGATCGAATCATCTACACCACCATGGTAAACTAAATTATTTATAAACTTTCACGAGTTAATTATAGACCAGACGTTACTATTAACGTTTGAACATAAGTAAAAGATGAGAAAATAATATTTATAAATAGCTTCAGATTATTTTGATACGAATTTATATTCGCTAGACATCACTTCATACACACCCCTGTTTTGGGTGAATAGATCCTCTTCTTATTTTCTATTATGATTTAAACATGCGAAATTGAGCACGATTTTGTGAAAGATTACAATTTAATTAAAATATGACCTACACCCTGATAACTACAAAGACATTTTTGTAGCGATGACAGCAATCCGTATCGGCTTCACAGAACTAGAAAAATCAACATGTCGTCTGTGATATGAAAATGTCTCAATGAAAATCTGTTGAATACAGTGTATAGATATTAGGGGTGTGACGGATATAATTTTAGATTGAACACAATAATTATATGATTAATACAAATTATACGGTGTGTGTTTCTTAAATAGTATTATATTTCATTATTGGCTATTGGCAACTGCAGTAATTAGTGGAGTGGATGAATATTATACTTTTTCACTGAGGTTCATTCTTTATAATCAAATTGTAACATTTGAAAAAAGTGTATAATTATGTTTTGTGTGTATTAAATATATACAAACTGTACGGTGTATATAAAGCAGATCAAATGTACTTCTCCTATTGCGCATGTTTCTTTGTGATTTCTGACAGCATACTTAATAAAAATTAATTTCTTTTTCTTTTAAATCCACTGTTGTGTTTAAAAATAAACAGACAACAAAGCCAGTGGAACTACAATCCATGGTCTTGGCCTCAGATTTCTATATCCGCTTCGTGATCATTAATTACTTTTCGAATAGTCAAGTAGGCCTTCTGTGCCTGACACACGCTGTCAACTTCTGGTGCACCCGAACTAGTTACGAATCTACAACTTCCGGGATTCAAATTTGAGATTAAGAATTTTATATATTTAATTTATAATAAATTACTATAACGCAATAAAACAATGGAAAGAAAATACATTTTAACCAGAGTGACAGCCCTAGGTCTCGACTCAGTATGAAGGTCCTTTTCAATGTATGATTACACAAATCAAGTTGTTATCTGTGAGGCAATGGTAATAGCAATAATGTTCAATAAGTTCAATGTTAAAATATTTTAATAGTAAAATATTCTTCAAATCTTGGTACTGACAATAAGATTACGTAATCATGATTTTGCGTAGAACGAAAAGCCAAGACTTCATAGATAACAAATAAATCAGCTGTTGTCACCGATTAAAAAAACGATTTTAGACAAAATACCTATACCAGTCAAGAGTCAACTTTCAACAGATATGTTCTGTTGATAATGAATATGTCAAAAGCGAATAGATGGCGGTTAGCCAAACACGTTTAAAAGGCAAAGCCTAAAATATATAAAATAATTGAAGAAATATCCAAAACTACGTAATATAATTATAATTAAGATGGCTACGTCAAAAACTCTGCGGCTCTTAGCTGTAAAATTAGGTTTGGCTAACGAAGTAAGAGTTCTGAGGTTCGTGTTCATTTTTTGTCTATAATTGTGTCTTATTACTTATACAACACAACAGGGTACTTCGAAGGGTAGTTTACTGATGATCCCCTATCTTGCCGATTGCTAACAGTCTTAGACTCATGCGCGTTATAATAAATTATTTCTTTTAAAACAAGAGAAAAATCCAAGTATATATCCTAGTTTGGCTTTGATTTTGAACCAAAATATTTCTTGGCTTATGTAATTAACACACCTGAATTATCTTTCTAAATTACTATACTTAAATAATTTTTCAGCAAAGCTGCAGAATTTGAACGCTTACTTCAAATTAAATCTACTCCAGGGAATAACTTTTCAGACACAAGTAAAATTGTAATACTTCTAGATTTGGCAGCTTCTTTGCTTGGTACTAATTTTGATCAAGTAAGTATTATTAATCATACTACTGCAGTTTGATATTCCACCTATTTAACCTTAGAAATACAGTTCTAGATTTGATCACAAATGCAGTTTTTAATACACTAAAACAACAATTTAATTGTGTTCTGATATTTTTAGAAAACTGCTGTTAAGTATTCAGGTTTGAAGGGACCAAGCTATAGAAATACTAGAAAGGTGATTGAGAATTTACTTGAGTTGGACAATGAAAAGCTATCAATATCCACCCTGTGCTTAAACCTGCAGTGTACCGGAGTACAGGATCTTGCTGAAAGTATCATGAAAGAATATGAAACAAGCTCTAAAGTGGTATGTTGACGTTAGTACAAACTAAAGTTGATGCATAAAATTTGTAGATAATAGAGATTGATTTAACTAAAAATAGTAGTAAAAAAATATAATGAAAGTAATAATTAGGGATGCATCGATACGCTTTTTTGCCGATACGATACCGATACACTTCTAGGAATATCGTCGATACCGATACCAACGCTTATTGAATTAAAATTAAATTAAGGTAAAATATATCAAGTTAAGTTAAAGTAATTTTTATTAAAAAAATATATATACAAAAAATAGTCACAAACTTTGAATAATTCTAAAGGTTTTATTACTATAATTAAGAATAATAATTAAAATAAAATAAAATAAATAACTGTTAATAATTAAAATTAACAATGATAACATTGTTGTAATTCTGTATTTTATTAAATTTGGTATCGAAAAAATACTACTCGCGATAGCAGTTAAAAGCCAACTAAATGATCTTCAAAGTACGTTCAATAAAGTCTCAATAAAAAAATTAAAAAAATTTGGTCTACTAATCAATCCAACAAGAGTTTTTCGTACTAACTACTAACTGACGTGAGACTGATCGTAAATCATCGTGATTCATGTGCACTTTTATTTTTCATGTATACTTTTTTTAGTTAATATGTAATATGTATTTTTGCCCTCCTTTTCATTTAATTATGTTCAATTTTTATATTGTAACGCAACAAAGTGTTAATAAATAAATAATGTTTAGCGAAATGAAATACATATATACATAAATAATAATGCTTTGTCCCCAAGCGAATGATAGAGACAACAAACTGAATAAAACGCGGGGATTTCTCGGGCAACCATAGTCCGTGGCTCGTTTGCAACAAACTGGATCATACAAAATGCGCGTTTACATTATTTTTTTAAAGCGTGAATTTTGAAAAGTATCGGTGAATCGGCAATGAAAATATCGCCGATGCCGATACATCGGCAAACCCAAAGTATCGCCGATATATCGGTATCGGTATCGGATGCATCCCTAGTAATAATAGTATAGCTTTTTTTCCTATAAAACTCTTTAATTCCAGGTATTGGATTTGACATTACCCCATTATGTTTGTATGGCAGTATACCAGGCTTGCAGGTAAAAAAATTTTTTTAACATAAATTTCTATAGAAATCTCAAGTTTTTATAATGTATGATAATGTATTTAGATGTTTAATTGATGAATTACAAAAAAGGATGAAAGTTGTGCTTTAATTCATATATATGTGATATATGTATGTGATATTATTACCAGTCACAATTTGTGTTAATATTGATGTTTGTTATTGATTGAGAAAGCAAAATATGAATTAATTACTTACTATCTATATTTTTATTGGCTCATTTTACTATAGGTATCTAGACCCCTCCTTTATATTGCCATAATACCTTGACTATTGATTTATACAATTAAGCCATACTTATCTCGGAAAATTAATTCACATTTACAGGATCAATAAAGTAAAGATAACAAAATCTAAAATAATAGAAAAATCCAGATTAAAACCTGGGCAATGGAGTGAGTTGGATGCAGAGTGGACTAAAATTGTGGATGAAAAGTTTCTTGTTGTTAAAAAAAGGGGACAGCCACCCAAAGTTGTTATTGAAAGTAAGTATATATCTTCATAAATAAAATCTCTACTGTACCTGTCCACATCATATCCCTAACTTTCATACTGACTGATCTGAAATTATTGTGATTCATGTGCACACTTTATCTTTGCCCCTTTCACTGTTTACGTCTGTTTTAACTGCTATGTTTTGGTCCATAAGTTTTGTCTAAATGGTAAAAATTTTGAAATATGTTGCATCACGTTGTATGAGTAAAATAGATTTTTTAGATGTGATAATAATACGATTTTTGTACATCTCCGGCGTAGGGAGAGCAGCCCCCACCCGCTGTAACAAAGCACAGGCATGAATAAAACGCCTACGGGTTTAAAATAACACTCTATTGGTTGAACAGACTAGTAACATATCAGTTGAGATTGTCACAATAATTAATAGAAAAGTATATAAAATATTTATTTAACGAATTTCAATACAATACACAAAATTATATTATATTTTTCTTATACTTAAACTACAACTCCGGCAGTCATAATTACTTGAAGGGGTCCCAATCAAGGCCACCCGAGACTCTTACATAATCAGTATCATCAAATTCAGACGACTTACTTATTTCTAAATCCAACCCTATGAACTATATGTCTTAAGTATGTTTGCACTTCTTCCGCTTACCATATATAATTTATATTTTTCTACATACACCGTGGTTGCCTCGAAGCGATAAGGCCGTCAATTTGTCTCCTTTTTATTTAATTATGTCTGTGTATTTTATTTAATTATGTGTTCTGTACATGCAACGAAGTGTTAATAAATAAAATAAATCATAAGAATGTCACCATGATGTTAGGCAAAGATGTCAACTTGTCCTTATAACTGGATTGCTTGGAAGAGATCGCTTTTAGCAATGTCTGTTGCAGTGTGTAATTTTTTGTTTTAATTTTTATATTTTGTAAATCGGTTTTGTGATGTGCAATAAAGTGTGAATAACATAAATATTTAAACAAGATTGATTTTTGGTAACATGTATAGTATCTGCTTAACTAATTGTTTCTCTTATTCAATCAAATCAACTCCTTTATTTCAATCACATTAACCAAATGCATGTAAACTGATACAGAGATTATACAGTTAAATATGTTGTATTTTTAGATGAAAATGAAATGGAAATAGATACAAGTCCTATAAAAGAGACGACGGAAACAAAAATAGAACCTTATGAGGATTGGAAGCGAAGAATGTTAGAACAAGCTTACAAGGAGTTGAGAGAGTTAGAGAATAAAAAGAGAATAGGTAAAAATAGGGTTAGTTTTAATGAAGACATGCTACCACGAAGATCTTCAAGAATGACACCACAAAAATCATCAGGAATGACACCACAAAAATCATCAGGAATGACACCACTACAATCATCAGGAATGTCACCACAAAAATCATCAGGAATGACACCACTAAAATCGCCATCTAAACAAAGAACTCCGCAAAAGTTTTCGCCATACAAAAGTCCAGAGAAAGCTAGGCTAAGACTCAATTTTCCAAAAATTTGAAAGGTAATTTAAGGATAATTGCTACATAATTGCAGCTAAGAAATGCGATATTGAGACTTAAATTTTAATATTTAAAAACTGAATAAATAAGTAAACATTTTTGTATTTATAATGATATTGTGTTTTTTATATTTAAGTATTATTACATAAGACATTTTTGAATAAAAATTAGTTCATATTTTCGTTTTCATAAATCTCCATGGCCATGCCGAAAATGTGGTCTATTTATATTTTTTCGATATTATTTTTTATGGTTAATACACAAAGTGTTAATGAAACACATAGTGAAGAGTTGCAAGGAAAAGTAGATGAAATGAAGACACTACCTCTAGCTTACCCAACGTCTTTGGCATTTCTCTTCATATTCCTAACACTTTTAGTTGGTGTAATAGTCAGAGCTGTCATGCTGATTACCACAATGTGTATACCATATAGAGTAGTAATGTTCATCTTTGGGGGCTTTCTAGGATTTTTTGCCCATAAATATCCGGCTTTCAAACCGTTTGTTACGATTTGCTACATAGATGTAGATTTGCTGCTGACAGTGTTCCTGCCGATCATACTATTTTTCACGTCTTATAGCGTTGATTCTCACTCATTTTGGAAGAGTTTTCCTCAAATTTTAATGGTTGGCGTTGCAGGAGTGCTGCTCACAGCTCTTATGGCAGCCTTCATGGCATATTATTTGATTGAATCGTCGTGGAGTTTTACCACTGCGCTCCTGTTTGGTATCGTCTGTTCGCCTATATATCCCGTTGAAATCGTTACGCAGTTAAAAGAACTTACCAAGGGTAAAAATATCAGTGTGCTACTACTGGGAGAGGGTTTAATAGGTGATGCAACTGTTATGATCGAGTTTACAGCAGTACTTGGATATCTAGCGTCGGCTCTTACTGATGCATCTCAAATTTCTTTAATGTTGATACGATTCGCGGGGGGCGGAGTGATACTGGGCTTGGTTATGGGAAAGATTACATCCGGATTGCTATCTCTTACATATTACGATTTGTTATGCTGCGTTACTCTGACGTTGGCTGGTGCTTACTTGACGTACTATATAGGCGAGAAATTCTTTTACGTATCCGGCCTGTTGGGGACTGTTATTGCGGGAGTGATGGTGAGCACGACGAAGTCAACAGTTTCCGCGGAAGTGGAGCAAATTGTGTCACACTTTTGGAGGATTCTATCGCATATAGCGAATACATTGTTGTTTACGATCGTTGGAGTGGTCATATTTGAAAAGTTGTGCTATGTTGTAACTGTGAGACAAGTGGCGTTGGTGTTTGTGACGTATACTACAGTGTATGCGTCGAGGTTATTGGTGTATGCGGCTATGACTCCTATATTGAGGAACATAGGATATGGAATGTCCTGGCAGCATGCGATGGCCTGTGTTTGGGGTGGCCTACGCGGACCATTATCTCTCTGTTTGGCTCTGATTGTTCTTGAAACACCGTTGACTGCGGATGTTGGGGAGGTAAGTCAAATAATGTATAATTTAGATACCCCAGGCATCCCACCATTCCATTTGTCCTTTCGGAAGAACACGTTTTGGTCAAAACTCACCGATATCCGGATTGAGCATTCTGATAAATGACACACAATGAAATCGATTTTCGTTTAGTTTTTATAATTTAATTTATTTGTTTAATATTTTACTATCTCTTCGTGTATGTTATGTTTGCCTTTAAGTGCTTGTCACATCAAAAATTATACATTTTTATATGTATATTATATATATATATATATTACTGTTCTTGTACCAATATATCAGTGTGCCGAGCGTTTGAAAGCTTTCTTAAATAAATACATACATTATTTGGAAGTATAGTTCCCACATTGATTTAAAATATTTAAAGTAATTTAACAATTTGGACATGAAGACCTAACATTAGAAAATAATGGAAGCAGCTGGTGTGTCACAGGACACGCTGATCACCAAAACCGGCACATATTATATATTAGATTAAGTTAGGTTATGTAACTTAAACAAATGTTTATATATATTATAATGGGTGTCAGCAATAAAGGCCTAAAAATAAAAATAAATAAATCAATGGCGTTACAACCTTTTTAGGTCTGGGCCTCAGATTTCTGTACCTGTTTCATGATCATTTGGTAATCTAATAGGCAAGTAAGCCTTCTGTGCCTGACGCACGCCGTCGACTTTTTGGGTCTAAGGCAAGCCGGTTTGTTTCCTCACGATGTTTTCCTTCACCGTTCGAGGGAATGTTAAATGCGCACATAGAAAGAAAGTCCATTGGTGCACAGCCGGGGATCGGACCTACGAACACTGCTCATTAAGGCTTAGTAATAATAATAATAATTTATATTTGAGGTGATGAGGTCTAGTTGCCCGTTTAACATATGCTCTATTTGAAACATCAATTTATATTTAGTCCTCTGTTGATATCGAAGTACTTCTAGGTCTTTATAATCCAAACAGCTGGGCTAGTTTTGCTATCTCTTCTCATAAATGCAACCACGGTTAGCAAAGTCTTGAAGATTTTAGGCCTAGCCGAAATATCCCTTGCCAAAAAGGCCAATATGACGAACTGTGTAAAACGCGTCATGATGACGAGGGATCGATGTATTTCTATGTTGAAGATGGATAAGTTCCTTGCCGATGCTAACTGGGACCTGGTTCAGGCTAGTAAGTGAACTTTTGTTTATGAATATTTGTGAATTGAAAATATACTTTAGCAATAACGACGTATTTGTTCAGACATTTATCATCTTTTGCATCATGAAGAATCCGGTATGTCCAGAGCCGCGCCGCAGGCCGCCCTTGTGTGCGAAGTTTTCTGCGCACAGGCTCCAAGACAATAAGGGCACCGTCACCGAAATATTTTTTGTTACGCTTACACAATAAAATATTCTTTGTAGTAGAGTATCGATAAATAGGTACAATAGGCGCAAATTTAAATAAAAAATATATTTCGCTTATTGTACACGTCTCCCAAGATAATATTTACGTTTGTGGTTTAATGTTACTTTGTTTGTCTGTCCTTAATTTAAGATGACGCCTCCGAAGCTACTATTCCTCTCCCTGAATAAGCAAGCGGAAGAACTGGTTTTACCTATTTAGGAAAATATATATTGACATGTGTTAGGCACAGAAGGATACCTAGGTATTATAAAATATATAAACGACTAAAAGATACGGATGCAATCTAACATAACAAAACATTTATAACTAACGAAATACATACAGAAACACACAAAAATTATAGAAAGAAAAAAGCAATGTAATGCAAGGTACATTTTAAATGTGTAATGTGTGCGTGCTGTGGTTGTAACTGGCCCTGGCTCAGCAATACGTGTTCCACAGCGCTGGTCATTCTGCCAGAGACCACAACAGTTTGCGCCTCAGACTTAAAAAAAGAAAATCAGAACTTGATTTCTAATAATACGATATAATATGGCATAATACGATCCGTAGATTTAGTATGTAAGACTTTATTATTCTAAAACCAGACGTTCCCTATATCGATATCTTCTTTCGTCAGATACAACAATAAAACACCCATACCAGCTGCAAATGTCCGGCCGTGATGAAGATAGTGATGACGAAACGTATATGGGATATCATTACACCACTTGTCCCGATTGCGAGAGAGAGATACCCAATGAGCCCACGAAGAAGGAAATAGCGGAAATGATGAGGTAAGACTAAAAAATATCGTCGAGTCCATTAATTCGGTTAGCTTTTTGGGAATAAAGTGTAGTTCGTTCAGGTATTCTATACTTTAAAATGAGAACAATGTGATTTCTTTAGTCGTAAATATTTTTTAACGTTAAACGGAATTTATCGATTGGCGATGAATCGATATTTGAATATAGATTATAATGCTGTGCAATTGTTTAGTCGATAATTTAATATGAACTGCAACAAAACTGTACTTTACTTTGATAATATGTACTTTTTGAAGTTATACTTCTTTAGGCGCGTTATGAAAAATTGATGAGAGTGTAATTTTACGATGCGCGCGCACCGTGACACAAAATTAACAGAATGAAGTTGCCCACGGAAGATGCTACGGCATTGGACATAATTTAAAAACAACATTCGAATAATAATAGAATTTATGTTACACTTAATGTAAGAGAATAATATTAAATATTTATTTATATAATTTTTCAAATGTAAACTGATTTATTTTTCAACTTTATTGACTATAATGACTCCTTTTCCAGTCTTTGATTATTTAATTGTAATTAATTATTTGCATGCAATCAAAATAAAGAAGTATAACTTCTTACGCGCGTACATAAGTACACGCACCCTTTTTTTTCTTGTGTATGTACTTTAATTTCAAAAGGTGGCAACCCTAACAATGTCCTAGATAGATAAATAATGGGCTTATTAGCACCTGCAAGTTTTTAATTCTTGATTTTACAGGGAAGCTAATCAAAGAGTGCTAAAAGCCCTCAAAATATCCTACTGGCGTCAGTATGAGCATGGTAAAATAAGCAAAGACGGGGTGAGGACTTTGGTTCAAGCTGTGGAAGTGGCTGCGGACTCAGATAATGGGAAGATTAATTTGGAGCAATTGGGGACGCTGTGGAAACCAAAGGTCGGTGTTTAATTATTCAACATCTGTTGTAAGCGTCCATTATGGTATGGACGATAATGCGAAGATTTCCCGCGAAACAATAAAATGTGTTTCGGTTGGTAGGTTTCGGTTTAAGGGTTTAATTTGTATTGTAATTTTGAATAATGGGAAAATAAATGTTATAATAATAATAATTTATTGCAAGAATATGGTACTATCGTAAGTTCGCATATTCTGCCACACACAATGGCGCGCAAATTTGTCTTTGAAGGAAGTTTAAATTTTGCATTATTAGTCATATGAATTGGTCAATTCTTATATTATTTGTATCGTACATACGTTATTAAATTTATATCAACTACAGTGTCTCACGCAAATAATCATCTATTGAATAATAATTTTTTTCCAAAAGTTATAAGTACACATAATCGACTTTTAAAAACT